AAAATTTAAAAATCAGTTAACTTTTTTTTTTTCAGTGGCCCTAATCCTCTTCCGTACAGGACTAAGATAACTAAACCAAAAAGATTCAGTTTCTATATATGAAAGTGAACTGACAACAAGATAATATAAATAGGCAATATTCATAGCAGCATTCCCGACAGACCATTTTACCTCATTCACAAGTTTCTGACTTCTGTGTCGCTGTTTCCCTCCCTTCTGAGTGCTCAAACACTCAATAGTTCAGAGAGGGGAGGGGGATGTAACGCTATGCTGCGCCTTCAAAATAAAAGCACGCTAGTTAAAAAAAATGTCAAAATCTAATATTTTGCGGTACAACTTTTTGGGGGGGACATATCCACCTGGCTTTTATATTGGGGGGGGGACATGTCCCCCCCGCTGCTGGTAGTAGTTAGGTTTAGAACTCAGGTGTGAATTAAATTTAGCTTAGGTTTAGCGTTGGGTATGAATGGTTAGGGTTAATCCATAGAAATAAATAGGAAAGCAATTGAAGTTGATGGAAAAGACTGTGGTACGTACTATAGCAAGGGTGTGTTTGCGTGATGTGTGTGTGCACAACCAGCAGGGTAAAGAAATTAGGTCAAATCATTTAAGGCTCAGCTATAAGCTAGTATGTTTAATCTTTACAAGCTGAACTAAACAGCCTTCAGTGGCTACATTTAACAAATTTAATTAATAAATCTGTAGGAAAATATATGACTTGATGTGAAAATAGCAGACTGGCGGCTTCAATTGAGACTTTTGACTTCCTGTGAAACACCTATACAGGTGTGTTTTCAAGGAAATTTAGAAAAATGTTTAATAAAAAGGAAAACCTTTAAAATATGAAAAATAAAACATAGTATTCTTTTTTTAGTGATGTAGCAGGGGATGTGTGCGCTATCTCTGCTTCCAGTTATGCCTGGAAACCAGAAATGTATGAACAACTGGTGCTTGAGGCCTCAAAATGCGATACCGTCTAAACTACTGCCTTCACTGATACCTGCAAGTCGGTGGAGTTGTTTTATTTATGTTGTGGGTCCATAAAGGGAAGGAAGTCCGCAGTCTTCAGACTGCCGGCTACTTATAAATGTTCAAGTTACTCTGATCTACTGTCTATCAGTGGGGATCCCTGTCTGAAAAGCTCAGTTGTAAAATATAAACGCACAAACCCTAAGCTATTTTTGCCTGGTGATAAAATAATTTAAGAGAAAGAGATCAGTACCACACCAAAAACCCTGTTAGGATTTAATTCCCCATGCCAAGCATGACACTGTGCACTTTGCTAGTTGGAAAAATCTGACATAAATGATTTATTATCCATCTGTAGATTATGATTAAACTCACAGCCAGCTGCGCATGTACAGTTACAGTATAAGTGTGACATCCTCGAATTTTCAGTTGAAACAAAAATGCAGTTTAGCACAAAGAACATGTTCTTCCTGTATTATATAAGGGATGGTGGGATGAAAAGTTATAGATACATTGACTCGGGTGAAAAACAGCAGTGCATAAAAATCTATAAATCCGTAAATCAAACATCTAGAGCAAAAGAACTAGCCAACTTACCCCTTCTCATGTCTCAACCCAAACGTGCGACAGACTTAGGATAAGTCCTGAGTCCTGCTACCAACCAAAGTTGGTTCATGGAATAACTAGCAGTAGTTACCTGACTCAGAGTAACAGATCGGTGATAACGGTCTTTCTAAAATTGAAAACGCAGGACATGCAAATGTTTACCCGAGAACTTTTTTACAGTTCTCATCTATCTTGTCTTCAGTAAGATGGCCCCGGTTCATGTCAGGTTTTAATGCCCCTGTGCTGTCTTGGGGCGTTTATGCTTTCAGTCATTCCTGTTACTGGTTCCTTCTAGATATCTGCTTACCCAACAGCTGCATACTCTTGTTCATCAACCACCTGTTCCTCATCCAGTAATCACCGCCTCAGGACCTCAGTTTCTCCTTTGTCGGATGAATCTGTCTCAATCAATTCAATTCAACTATTTATACAACATTGGCATTAAAGACAGTTTGAAGGGAATTCCCCAATTTTCTTCAAAACACCTTATAAATTTCATAAATATTTTGATCTGCACTGGTAAAAATTTTACCAACCTTTTAGGATTTCAGAGTTACTCTAAAAGTACATTTGGGTTTTATTGTTTTTCTGTTCAAGATTCTTTGGGTGAAAAAGGAAACGGCATGCCACCACTGCATTTCTGCCAACTCAGCCCCTAATTTAGTGCCTTTTCATACCCCATAGTGACTTTTCCTAAAAAAAAAAAAAAAGTGACTTGCAACAAATCTAGCTACTTTCTCCTGTCTAGTTGGAGACTTTAGTGACAACACATAGAGCTCTGAGTTTACGTCTTCAGCAAACAGTTAAGCAGCAAATCCCTCCTTAAACAAGACACAGAGACTCAGCAAGCAGCTGCAGCCTGTGTCTGCAGAGATTACTGTGGGTCTCCCATGGTTCCCCATACAATATGAGTCACACATGCATGAAGCTTCCATTGAAAAATCAGAATGTAATGTGTAATGAAATACAATATTTAGTGTGTTATTTTATTTAAGGCTGCTTCACTGAAATAGAATACTACATGGGGTTTCAGCAGCCCTAGCGGACACAGTTCCAGTGTCTCAGGGGAGAATAAACTTTGATCCTAATTTTATACGCTTAGTTGTATTTTTAATCATTTGAAACATTTCTGTGGTGTGATTAACTGACACAATAGATGCATTGGTACTTTACACAGTGTGTAAGGTCCATGGTGCACAGAGACTATGATCCCAATAGAGGATATACCATTTCACAATCAGCATTCTAGTTTAAATCCATCAAACAATCAAATCAGGTCCCACATAGTCTGACATTGTCTATAGGTCTATGAAGAGTTTCTCAAAATCTAAAACAACATACTGTAAAATCAATATTCAACTGCGCAAACATAAATATTGCTGTTTTTTTCTTCTTACTTAGTTTTCATGTACCTGTACCCAGCATTTTAAGTAATGATCAATACATTTCATATATGAATTAATAACAATTTTGTATTGTGAATTACTTTAATAATAATAAATAATTTTATTGATTTCTATGTGCACAACTTGCTCAGGGACTGCAGATGGAAAGTCGTTTTAGCTAGGTCTTGGTCAAAGCATCCCCTCTCATTGTGAGATATATGGTTTTGTAAATAATCCCTGACAAATACTGAACCATGCAACCCAGTTTATTCATGCCATGCATTTCAGGGAAAATATTTTAATGCATAACTCAAATACTGTTCTAACCTTTAAGATATAACTTTCTATAATTAGACTAAAGTGCTGGCCTGGATCTTTGAGGGCCATACATGTATACTGGATGAAAGATTTGGTTGACTCAGAATTCTTTTAGAGATCTTGCTGTTTAAAAGTGATTTAAAGAGTAGATGTCTCGGAAATAGTTGCATTTGAGCATTAAAAACAGACTCCCTTACTTGTGCCTGTGTTTTTTTTAAACATCTACCTATCTGCTTTACTTTTAGGAAATCTTCTGTGCAGGTTTTTGATTAAAATTCTAATAAATATAAAAATAAAATTATTTTAAACCTTTTACTACACAGTCTGGTTCTTGTAAGTTGCTATTCTTTTTCTAATTATTCTTATTGGTCAATATCAAAGGTGTAAGGCCCCTTTCTTTTTTGAAATGAGGAAAAAAGCAGTCACACTTATGATTTAGATTTTACTCAAGAGGAATTCAAAAAGGACCTTTATTTTTTCATGCAAAGAAAACAAAGAAGCCACTGTTGTTTCCTTGGTTTCATCACTCTAGTGTCGGCTTTCAGATTGTTTGAAGTGTGGCTGCTAAATGCTGATGGCTGTTGTAGGAATTCTGCCTGAAATAAAGCTGAACTGATTTATTTTCTCAAAATTCATTTAGCCTTCATGGTTTTATAGAAGACAAAGCTTTTATCTGACAGCACTGTAGGTGTGACAACATGCCAAGTTATTGTACAACAAGCTTTGAGTCATCTGGATTGCCAAATGATCTGGAGGATAAAATGTGGTTAGCAGATGCAGGCTGTGTTGTTCTTGGCTTGGGCTACACACTGTAACATAAATAAATATTCAAAACAGCAAGAGTAAAAAATCTAAAATGGTAATAAAGTCAAATCAAAAAATCTATTTTTAACTAATTATAAGTTCAAATTAATATAGTATTTAATATTGCTATCGTCTAAGATCAACTTACACATCTTTAAACAGTTTTGGTATCAAACACTAAAAACAGGGGGACAGAGTATTGAAAAAACAGATTAAAATAATTTAAGGAATTTTATAAATGTGTGATTTGATGATCTGTCAGAATCACACTGGACAGATAGCTGGGGAAAGAATACTTCACTCCTTAGAAAAATAAGAAGATAATCAAGTAAAAAGAGCTAATTTTGCCATTTAATACCCCAATGGAAGAAAAAGAATAGGAAAAATATATAAAAAACTTGAAAAAAATGTGGTAAATACCCATAATGGTATTGGCAAGCAACAACAACAAAAAAACCCTTAAAGAAAAGCCATCCAACCATCCATGAATTTATTTCCTGATTTTGTTTAATCCTGTTCAGACTGGCAGGCAGAGCTGGGATCTATCTCAGCAAACAGATCTGAGGAGGCAAATCTGATTTTCCAATTAACAAATAGTGTTGTTGTTCCAGTGGTGCACAACTGGAAAAAAGCCCGAGACTGACAAAGAGAGAGTCAACTCTATGGAACATAAGTAAATTTTGAAGAAAAATGATTATTTTAAAGCCATAAAATGTTAGGATAACAATAATAAAATCCACCTTTCCTTTGCTTTTTCAAAGCAGAAACTGTTAAGTCCAAATTTATTCATATCCCTGACAGATTTAGTTTAAAATGCATAATGAGAGAGTAATTTCCCAAAAGAAGATAAAACAATAGAGAAGTTGCATTTTAGTGGAAATAGGTATTGTATGTTTTCTCAGTTATAAGCTTTATGATAATTTATCTTTGGTGATAAGCTCAAGTCTTTGATGGTGAAAGGTTGCTTTACCATCACCCTAATCTGTAAGTCACAACAGGTTTCATTATCAGATCTAGCTCAAAGTATTACTAGTGCAACCAATTAGAATATGCACGGGTAAAATTGAAAGGCTCCTTTAAATGTACCTGCCAGGCGTTTGGAAATATAGTGAAATTTTTGTAAGTGTTAAAAACATGTTTTAACACCAAAAGAGCGACAGCCTCTAAAACAAGATAGCAACACCATATGGACGATGATTTATTATCTGTAATCACATTATCTGAAACCCTGTCAGTTCATAACTGAAAACAGAAAAACTGATTGGTTTTAGGACAGAAATGACCTTTGTTAAGGGAATATGTTCAGAGGTTGTGTGTTTCCATTCTGGTGAAAGAAGATGTGGAAAGTACTTTGCTTTAATGGTCAGAAAAGCCCAAAATATGTTTGTTGCTCCATGGCAGTAAACACGGATAGACAGGTAGTATTTTTCTGACAAACCTTTCAGCAGTTTCTCTATTGGAAACACATTCTGGATTACCAGATTAAACATTAGATTCTTGGTTTGAAGAGAAAGACCAACACTAAGCTGAGGAATGAGAAGACAACACAGTTGTTGGGAAATCATATTTAAATGTCAAACCCTTCTGGCTTAAACATGTATATACATGTAATCTTTATCAGAAAATATTGGGCCAAAATTTAGAAAATGTATTAATTTTTTTTTAAATCCTGTCTTAAAATCTTTTTTTATTCGTTATCTTTTGCAGGCCAGTTAGTTACATCAGCTTGTACACCTAAATTCAGGGAATCATATATCAACGGTCATCTGTCAATAACATTTTTTCAATCATAGCATCTTGATTTTTATGTAGCAGCTAATAAACGCAACGGTTGAAATAAGAAATAAGAATAATTTCCTTTACAATTGAGTTCCATCCCAGTGTTCACGGGGATGGACGTCTGTGCCTTCGGCAAGCGTAGAGCTAACAGAACTGGCAGCATTGCGAGGCAAGGGCTCAAACATGTACAGCTGTAAGCCTTTTACACCAAACCAAGCTTCTGCCGCCCTGGCGTACTCTTCCACAACAACTTTGTCCCCACTTTCCTCCTCTAAATAAAAAATGGTGACGGAGACTCATCCACAACCTCCAACACAAAACTCTCCTCCTCTTGCATGTTTTCGCTGTCCATAGCGTTCCTTGACAGTGTCATTTCTAATTCACCAATTTAGTGCTACTTGGTCCTAATGGAATTTCCCATTGGGAACCTTCTAGCACTTAGTTACTAACTGGTTAACAAAATGCTTCAAAAAAAACGGCCACAAGTAAACTTGTCCGTGAACCTTCTGCCACAACAATCCCGACCAAACGACCAATCACATTCATATTCACATTCATATTCAGCTGTTCACAGAGCTCTAGTAGGCAGTAAACAGAGAGACCAGGGTTAATTGGAATTTGGAAATCAAAATTAAGGATTTCTTTTTTTTTTTTTTTTTTTTAAGGAATTCTTTCCCTCAACTGCTGATGTGCATGTATACATTTACAAAATACATCAGTAAAAGCTCTCACTTTCACCATTTTATTCACAGTAATAAGTTGCTACACTACTGACATTTTTCCATATCTGAGGAAAGCGGAGGAGAGGAGAGAGAGCTTAATAAGCCACCTTATGTCAAAAATGATTGATGACTTATGACCTATGACCTTATGACTTATGACCTTATGTCAAAAATGATTGATGACTTATGACCTTGATGTCCTATAAGACATGACTTTATGACTTATGAAATATGAACTATGAACTCTATGACCCACACCTGAAAAAATGTTTTTCTTATGACCCTTTATGACCCACAAACTTCTGCACAGACACGCACCATCACATTTTGCTTCACCGTGGGGGGGTGGGGGGGGGACAACACGCAGAGCCCCCACCCCGGACGAAGCCCCACCAGGGGGCAGCACGGACCAGGACCGAGACAGGGAGCCAGACCCGAAGCCCTTCCAAGATCTTCTTCCCACTATCACCATCCCCTACCCCCCCTCCGGATTTCTAATCCCTCCCCTACAATAACAATCAAGCTACTCACCACCCAAGCGACAGCAGACATCCAGGCCGAGATCATTCCTACTCCCCCTCCCTCTCCTTCCCCCACTTACAGAGTGCAAACCCGTGAAGGGGTAAGCATCTGCCATAGGTGTTAATGTCCATGCCCCCCCCAGCACAACAGGCCCCGAGGCACCCCGGCACACCAGAGGCCATGGCAACAGGGGCAGACAGCCGGGCGTACACCGGCCCAGACCCCAAGCAGTTCTCCCCACAGAACCCGAACCCCCGAAACCCCACCGGGGCCCCTGCCCAAGGGCAACGCGCCCCAGGGATCCCAGACCCCAGGACCCATCCCAGACCCACTCAGCAGTAGGGCCGGGCAATGCCCAAAAACCCCTGGCGCCGGCACCAGCACCCCCACCCCGACACCGGCCCCAGAACGACTCCCTCCCGACACCGGTCCCACAACACCAATCCAAAGAAGATGAAAGCCACACAACACAGCAAAGCACAAATCCCGAGCCCCACTCCAAGCTCCGATTCCTCCGCTCACACCTCCCCTCCCACACACACACACACACAAAAAAAAATTTTCCCCCTCACTGAAGAAGAACGGCCGCAAACAAGCCAGTGTCCTACACCCACCGCAACACCGCGAGGACCCCTCCACCCAGACGCTCCTCCCCAGAAAAATCAACATGCCTGCCCTCCCAGGAGACAAACAAGCCCGCCGAACAGGAACCCCTCCGACAGCGCACCGCCGGCACACGGGGGCCCGAGCGGCCCCAACAGAAACAACAGCGGAAGGCCGATATGGACGAACCGATGGCACCAACCAAGCCCCCAGGCAGATTCCCCCACCCAAAAACACAACGAAACCACTCCGCCCCCACCGACCACAGCAAACACAGCCGCAAGGCAAAACAAAGTATGGAGCAGCCCCGCCTGGCGCACGCCAGAGAGCCAAAGCCGCCCCAGCCGCCAGAAGCCGGCACAAGCAGCAAAAAGAAAGCAGCAGATGCGACCCCGCCGCGCCCGGTGCGAAAGCAGCACGAACCACCCCGCTCCGGCCTTGCACCGCCCACGGGCAGCCGAGAGGAGGACGGCCGCCCCGATGGGGGCAACAGTCCCCTGGGCCAGACCCGCCAGGCACCCCGCTCCGAGCACCCCCCCGAGCCCCCAGGACCCAAGGACCCCCGAACTAGCCCCCGCACCCCATGAGACGCCCCCTCAAAGCCCCCCACTACACTAAGTGAT